AGTTAAAGTACTTGAATGTATTTTTAAGATTTAACTCCGGAGTTGAGTGTCACTTTAGGCCTGGTTCACACCTGGGCGTTTTACAGCGCGTTCCTACGCTCTGTAAAATGCTCAACACGTGACCAATGATTGCCTATGGGCATGGTTCCCACCTGGGCGTTTTACAGCGCTTAGGAATGCGCTGCAAAACGCCCTACGCCCAAAGAAGTACAGGAGCTTCTTTGGGGCGTATTTGCCACGCGTATCCATTGGGATACAGCCAGGTAGCCCTCGGAAACGCACGTTTGTCGCGCGTTTCCCCCCCGCGAATTGCGGTAGAAACGCGTGACAAATGCGCATATTCGATACGCCTAGGTGTGAACCCAGTCTTAAGGCTGTAAAGTGTGTTCCAAAAAACTTGCATCACTAAATAAACACTTTCTTTGAAGTCACCCCTATAATTTTGGGTTGATTGGAAACGATCCCTTAACTATCAAGCACATTTAAAAGAGAACTATGGGGTAACCTTTTTTCCCCCATAGTTCTCTTTAGGGTCACGGGAGGACATATACTAATGTATAATGGGACGATCCCGACCGTGCTGTTGAGATCTACACACCTGGCCGTCTGCCTATCTAGAGGCAGAGCCAGTTAACGTGGAGGATCGGAGAGGGGAGGGGAAATCTCTGGGGGGGAGTGGTGACTGATATTTACTGCTCCCTGCAGGGAGATGATCGGGAAGCAAGCGAGCGGCGGTATGTTTTCTGCTCACTTCCCAATCAATAGAGCTGACGTGTGATAGTTTCAATGTCTCAGGTCAGCTCTAACTATGGGGATGAGTGTAATTGTGAGGGCCTGGCCAGACAGGGGTTGAATCTCAGCTGCAACGAAGGAGGTAGGTTGGCTTAGTAGTAACGGTATTCAGTGTCGGACTCCTGGTGTCTCTCTCCCGTTAATACGGAGAGTTAGGAGTCCTACCATAATTTACCGTGAAAGAGGAGAGGTTAGATCGGAGACCAGTACGTATTACCAGCATACGCGTGGTCAAAGGAGAGAAGGTTTAGAAGCTATGGACCATGAGTGGTTATGGAAGGTAAAGGCAAATAATGCAATGTATTACTGAGGTTCTAGATCACATCAGTATGGTGGTAGTCTTCTGTACGATGCAGGAGATTAGTTCAGGTTAGAGAGGTTGAGCATACATGCAGTATGAAGATTAATCAGTAGAGGGAGCTTTTCCCAATTACATATTAGTAGGTACTTGTTGTTCACCGATGTCCCATGTTAGAGTGGTGACAAGCACATGTAATATAGAAAGCAACCAGCAGATGGAGCCGACTCCAACAAGAGATGTCACAGATACTTGCTGTTCAGTAGGCTGCTCGGTTCGTCCCTGCGCAGGGGGAAGCTGCAGTGTCCGGATCCTCTCACTCTCTCTGTATCCAGATTTAGGGGAGTCCAGGGGTTCGTATGGCCGGCCGAGTCAGCAGGTGCTCACTCCACAGTAGCTATAGTGGAACGCCGAGCTGACGGTCTGCCGGCGTTTTAAGCCGGAAGGAACAAGGAGGTGCCGCTGACGTCATCGGGCCGATGCGTTCCAGGGTGGAACGCATCGGTTCTCCAAGGACTTCCTGGTTTGCGGATGCGTTCCATCCTGGAAGGCAAGGACGTGCCGCGATCCTTACAGTAATTCACTCACGCCATAGTTCTCCTTTTAAGTTTTCTGAAAGTAAGGGTTTTTCCATCAATATAACATGAGCTTGATTGAGTTTGTAATCACTTTGCCAATTTCTTCAAAAATATAACTCTGAAGGCCTTTCTTTGAATTTAAGTAACAGTATCAGTTGGAAGTTACAATCACCATACATTAAAATATGGTTCATATAATTTGATGTGATTTTTCCTTTTGATTTTTCTGAAATTGAATGTGACGTAGCCCTGTGCTTTCTATATGATTGTTACAGGTAGTATTTCAAAATCAAGCAAAACTCACTCACAAAGCACTCCCTCCACTATAAAATAACATGCATACGCTTTGGTGTATTGAATTACTGTTCTTCCTGCTTGCTCGTTGAGAAACATTAGCACATGGCTTTTCCACTGAACAGACATCACTACAACTGCTAACTTTGAGCTTACATAGTAATGCCTCCTGGCCCTTTAATAGCTCTCTATGACTGGTTAAGGCCCAGTGTTTTTCCCTTGAAGGTTAGGTGGAATTTTAATGGTTATGTCTGGCAGCCATAATATCTGAGCACCGCACCAGTATAAATCCTCAGTAAATCCTTGTGTGAGCCAGAAGGCCTTGAAGGTTTTTCATTTCGTGGGTCTTATCTCTTGTAATGAGATCTCATTATGTTCTAAACCATTGACGCTCTAATTTTTTGTCTTTATTTTGGATTTTTAAAACGGTCTTGTTGAGGAGAACATTGTCTCTGAACTTTTCACCTACTTTGCCAGGACTTCATCTGCTCAACAGTTCATAGTATGTGCTTACTACCATAATACCATGCCAAACAATGTTTATCACAAGCTGAGTCTCAACAAAAAATGACTTTCCTTTGTACAACTATCCAGTTAATTCTCCACAATTGTTTTAGTGGCAGGTTCTATTTTTTTTATATATCCTAGGGACAGCTAGTCTCCATCGCCCAAGCAAATAAAAGAGTTTCCTCAGGGGTATAAGGTTTCTTTTCCAGATATTGGATAGTGACCAGCTAAGCTTTGTTCTTTACCATTATGCTTTCTTCCCCTCTAATTACATTTGACGCTTGGATGTTAGCACAGCACATGCTGAAGGAAAGCCGCAGCTAGAACTTTCCAAAGCAACTGCTTCTTGTTCAGCTGAGCATTGGATTTTAACTAAAGCAGTCCATGTCGAACCTCTCTAGCATTATTATTAAAAAGGAAACTGCACCCTTTATAGCTTTACTTGGCTAAATGTTTAAAAGAAAGCTTTAGGAAACATTTGAATATCATTTCATCTATACTGTTTTTTTGTCTGATTTTTCGCCCGTTTTTGCATATATTCCAATTTACAGCTGCCACACTTCCTGCAAAAAAATGGGCCATGGGCTACAGTGGGTCGTTGCTTATAATTCTTGTTTGCTGATACTCAGTTTGCCTAAATAGTTTTTGTTTTTCATATGTTCTATTCAGAAAGCATTGTATGTGATCTAGTTTTTCTAAAATATACCCATAACAGCCAATGTGAAGCTGTTCATACACACGATAAGCTTATCACCTGATCCAACTGAGTATAGTGATATACTCAGTGTATATGTGCTCCCTGCAACACCACCTGACCGAATGACTTCAGGTAAAGAATACTGTACTGTAATTGAATTGTGTTTTTGGCCGGTCACTATTGTTTCCGCTAGTTTAGGCTTGGCTACATGTTTTGCCACACTAACTGAAAACATTAAAAGTGTACCAAGGTACAGTATTTTCCATTAACCTCTTGTATGTTGGCCAAAGGATAACTCAATTAGCTTGGCATTGGAAGATTATATGAATATGTAGAGTTATCCCTAAAGAGAAGATTGGATATTATTATTAAGACCTATGCCATTAGTATAGATGCCCACTGATACAAAATAATGCTTGACATTACTACCAAGATGACCGGAAGGGACCTATAAAAGAGGAGGTGATCCATACTTTAAATACCTGTGTATCCTCTTCTGCCTGCCAACCATCACAAGAATAATGGTAATTTAAATTCCTTGCTAGAGATGACTCAACTAGGGATGTTCAGATACCAAGTACCATACTCAGTACAAGTACTGATAGTTTTCCAGCTCTAAAACTAGACTAGAGAAAAACTCAAAAGTTAGGAGGCAGCTGTTATTTTTCAGGAGCATACGGGGCTCCTGGAATTTGTGCATCCCTGTTTTAATGTATAATTTGTTTTATATACATATATACAGTATATTGTTTCCAGACCAAGTACTCACAGATACAAGTACTGATACATTTTTGTTTAGTGTCATGTGACAGTTTTTCTAAAGCAATACAGACTAATGATTTCAGGACAGTGGTGGAGCACTAGGGCACAGTCGCAGCTTCTGCGACCCTGGTAGTTCTCGTGAAAATGCCAAGTATCGGCGCTGGTATCTGAACATCCCTATCTGCAACCATGGGCTCTTATGGCCTCTTTGAGAGTAAATATCATTAACGGATAATGCAGTTTTTTGAGAGTAGATGTAAAAGACACAAGGAGCGGAATTTATCAAAACTGGAGCAGACAAATCTGGAGCTGTTGACTCCAAGTGGTCTTCAATGCTTCCGGGAAACCATGCATGTCAGTTAAATATTTAGGAAATTGTATCCAAACCCAATGACAAAGATAATATATTGCAACTTACTGGTCCTTATATGCTGTGGCTGCCCACGTTTTTTTTCTTTTTTCTCAAGCTTTTTTTTTTTCATCTTTATTTTTACCCAGTGGTTCTACCAGTAAAACTCTTCCTGTCCCAAGGTGACAACGCTCACTCATTGTACTGTTTTTTTTTTGTTTTTTTTAGAGAAGCAGCATTCTCGCACTAGGACAGGAAGTGTTGGGACTACAGAACACCTCCTCCTCTCCTCTTTTATATAACACAGATGTTAGGTGTTCTGTAATCCACAGAGCTAAATGGAGCAAGTCTGATATCACTGCTTAAGATTTTAGTGCAGCAGGGGCACAGTGAACAGGTAAGGGTCAGGCATTTATTGCTTATCAAACAAATACAAGAAAACCTTTTCATTGGTATATTAAACAGACTAATAAAGTAAATTAGAAGAGCACTGTTTACATACACTTTAAATGTAATTTGCACATCAAATTCCTACAAGTAGCATGTTGACTGCTAAATAAAATAGCACTTTACAAAGGTTGACCTGTACTGCATAGACAGCACAATATTGCCATTACATTTTGTATTTTACACTTGTATACATAAAACCATGTATCAGCTGCATCTCTTGATGTATGAAGCCCTAGTGAACTTTGCACATTAACTGTTTTTGCTTGTGTACAGGAGATAAAAAAGAGAAGAAGCCAGCTGTGGCCGATGATGAAGCTAGACCTGTTGATGTATCTCGCCTGGACTTGCGTGTTGGTTGCATCATTTCTGCCAAGAAACACCCAGATGCAGACTCCCTATATGTAGAGGAAGTAGATGTAGGAGAGGCCGCACCAAGGACTGTTGTTAGTGGCCTTGTAAAGCATATTCCAATTGAACAGGTATGTTGTGGTATCACGTGGTTGTTTTTTTCATTAAGGGCCCTTGAACAGTAGAACATGAAAATATCTTGTCAACAGGTGCACCTCTATTCTGTATGGACACATGAGGAAGTGCATACAGTCTGCATATGGGGTTATTTTCATAGTCCTCATTACTGTTTGATGAAGACCAACTCCGGCCCGTGATCTCCTACAAAAAAGGAAATTGTAGCAGATGCAAAGCTCCACCCACAGCTAATGAGGGCACTTTCACTCAGGAAGGCCTTATACTGGTAACCTCTAAAACCATGGTACCCGACCTGCAGACTGTGGGCCTTTGATACTTGTTGTGCGGCCCCGAGACTCCAAACAGTCTGACAGCCAGTAGTGGGAGCATTGATTTATAAAGGGATTGCAGTGTAAATGATCCCTGGCAGTCTCTTGTAACATGCTTCGGGTCTCTGTGTTTGTTCTGCAGCATGTTCTTAAGCTCCAACCATACCTGTAGCATATCCAGAGTCTGTAGCCATCTCCTGAGGTATGCCTACAGACAGTCCTCTGTAGCATTACAATTATTGAACATTATGTGTGGCCCTTTGCTGATATCAAGGGCCATAGTTGAGGCCCCCTATACGTCAAACGTTGACAACCAGTGTTTTAGAGGTTGAAATCCATTGCCTTAGAAAGTTGGAAGACATCAACTGTTTTCCAGAGTAGGGGATATCTACATCCACTGGTTCCCATGCATAGCAGAGAAGATCCCAAAACCGAAGATAAAAGTTGCCTTGTATAACAGAATTCAACATACAGATGTATTCATTCAGCTCTAAAGGTGGAGTAATATGTTCCTTCCCATCATCATTTGAAATGGCAACTATTCTAAAATTAATATTGTAAAGTAAAACACAGTTTCCTTCTATCAAAGCAATGATTTCCAGCAATATTATTTTCGCAAGTGCTTCATCCCTGTTTTATGAAGCCCAGAACAAGGAAAAATAGCATCTAATTTAAAGGCTATTTTCCGTGTTTCATTTTTTCCCACTGGGACTGGTCTTTTATAACCGTGTCCTTGGTGCCAAAATGAATGCTAACCATGGGAAGCATTACAAACGGTTGATCAATAATTCCTTGGGGTACAGCAGGGAGGATCTGTACTCGGCCAAGGTATTTGGCTAATTAGATAATTGTCTGTGATGTTTGCTTGAGATTTAAAATAAATACATGCATAAATAATAAGGAGCACCTGGGAAATGAGGGAAAAAAGTGCACTTGATATGATTCATGCCGCCTTAAGTACATACATAAAACAACAATAGAAAAATAAAACATCTGGTCAATTACGTTTTATAGTCGTACATCTTCATCATTGCTAAAAATACTCCAAGTAAGGTATCTATCAAGGAAAATCATTTTCCAGCCACAGAGAAAATGAAGCATTTTATTGCCTCTATGTGAAGTCCAAGTGCAGGGCTTAAAGCGGTATATTTCCCATTTTTAACATTTACATCGCCAGAGTTAAAATGTTCTACACTCTTACAGGAAGTGAGAGCTGCAAGAACAAAATGGATTCCAAAGACAAATGCCATGTAAAATACATTGAATAAAGCAAAGAATATATGCAGGCTGTATCACAAAACCAAATATATCTTGTGGCTGTAGCTACTTTTTATATGACCTGGTGACACAGAAATTAAGGAATGCTTATGAGAAAATGTGGTTGATTTACTAAAGGCAAATAGACTGTTCACTTTGCAAGGGAATTTCCCCCTAGTTAAGTGAATTAGATGACGTTCTGTCATCCAATCATGTGTAAGCAAAAATACTGGGGTTTTTTTTTCCTTGCATATGATGGTATTCTTTGCAAAGTACATTTTCACCACACTTGCTAAGCTAAGGGAAAGTTGTTTTGCAAAATGAACAGCCTATTTTCCTTTAGTAAATCAACCCCAATACCTCTGTGTTCTTAGATGAAATATCAAGCCCGATGTAACTTAAAGGAAGAACTCTGAGAAAAACATTTAAATTTAGGTAGACTTCTAGGAATTTTTCAAACGGTAATTTTTATCTGTCTTGATCGTTTTATGGGTTTAATGCATAGTAGAGCCAAAATGGACAGCCTGCCTATAGCATTGAATGCTTTATCTGAAAGAGTACGAGTACCGAAAAAAAAAGTTCGGTACTCGCCGATACCAAATATATATATATTGTATTGCTTCTGACCTGAAGAAGAGAGGTTCACTCTCAAAAGCTAAGAAGCAGCAGAAAACTCCACACTTGCATCAGAATCACAGCCCCATTCTGATGTTCAAGAGACCGTTTTTTAATGGGTAGTACTATGTTTTTGTCCGCTTTTAGTGTAAATAATTAGTGAAGACTTCTCATTCCTATAAAAACATCAGTGGAACTGACTGTAAAGTGTGTCCATGCCAACCTGGGCTCAGATGAAATGGGTGAATTATGCTAGCTGTCATTTATCGCAGAAGACTGGGCAGATCTAGTGGTGGAAATTGATTAGTTTAGGGGGCAAGTATTGCTGAGTTTCGTTTTTTTCTGTTAATATACTTTTTTTTACTTTTTAGCTTAAATTTTGCTTTAGATCCATTGCTATAAATTAAATACCAAATAATGTCCTGAAATGACCATTTCCTTGACCTGGTTTCCTGCAAATTCAACTGGTAAGCTCCTCTGATGCTTCAGCTTCTTTGGTGTGGCCAAAGGTAGGTTCTGTGTGACACAGTGGCACTGATTGGCATCCCAGAATCCACCTTGGCCGTGGCAAAGAAAAAGAAGTATCAGAAGCAGCAGTTGGTCAGACTTTGAGGGAAAACTACATTAAGCAAGAGTGAATGTTTCCAACAGGGATACAACCTGCATGGAAAAAAAAAGTGGCAAAGGTTCTAACACTCCCCAATCTAACTCGTGTGAAGCTGTACATTATTCTGTGAGAGAAATAAAAAGAGATACATGATGTGAATTAGTTTTCCTTCTGAAAATAACTTCAAGGGAAATATTCCTGCTGTGAGCCATCAAAAACTGAGGCTTGAATTTCACCTAAAGGAAGAGCTCATTTTCATTCAGATGTTTTGGAAGTTTTGTTTCAGCTCCATAATAAAACTCGGCTATATCTTATTTCTGGCAGAAAAAAACATGAACGTTCGAGGAATGGCTGGATCAATACTAGCCAAACCTGTTTTGTGTGTATTTTGGCATTTTGTGTCTTTCTTAAGACATCTGCTGAAAAATTTAACATTGTTACAATGATTAGGCTTGGGCACATGCAGAATTTTGTGTTTTCAGTTTGACACTTGTTTAATATATGTAAGATGGATTATGTGCTTAGCCCCATCCTTTTAATGGTAAAACTGTATCCTGCTTACTAGGCTCTAGAAAATTACTTTTAGGAACTGCAATGATGAAAACGTAACAAAATGTTGTCTGTCTGTTGTATATAGAGGCACATCTCACGATACATAATGTGTCTTTTAAATGCATCCTTTGGTGATCTTTAGAAGCATTCTCTAGTCTGTGGGCTACGTTGCAAATGTAGTTTTTAATATTCGATTGTGTAGTGACAAACTTGGGTTCCCGCTCTGCCATGTAGCTTGCATCTAGGGTTTCATTGTACCTTGCAACAGAACATCAAAGAGCCAAGGCATACAACTGAATACATTATCACTGAACCATTGAATAAAGTGGTCTAGTTCTTGGTTATACATGGTTAACACTACAATGATGAGCTAAGCTGCACATATGTGAATAGGTCCTAAGGTTTGTAGACTTTAGTCAACCTGGAATCTGGGTGATGTTGGGTGAGGGAGATTTGACATCACATCGTTTGCATGCCAGGAATTTTACAGGATGTGCTTTATCTGATATTTTTATATAGTACTTAAATGCTAAGGGGAATCACAGTATGGACTTACATCTGGATATAACACAGTTAGGCCTCATTCACACGAGAATCGGCCAGCACGTACAGCTCCGTGCTGCGTGCACGGCCGTATCGGGCAGCTCCCGGGAAGGACAGGTGCTGCGTGTGATTAGTACGCAGCCCCTGTCCTTCTCTATGGGATTACGTGGCCATACGCCCCCCTACGCTCACCTCAAGTGACTGGCCATACGTGTGCAGGTGTCCCGGCTCGGACGCAGACAAGATCCATCCTGTCAGCGTACGAGTACGCTCACCCGCATGGATGTGCAGGGCAGGTGAGTGTAGGGCGGTGTACTGCAGCATAGTCCCATAAAGAAGGAGCGGGACTGCGTACTAATCACACGCAGCACCTGTGCTTCCTGGGAGCTGCTCGATACGGCCGTGCACGCAGCACGGAGCTGTACGTGCCGGCCGATTCTCGTGTGAATGAAGCCTTAATGTTATTGCCTGTTCAAAAAGTGGGCAAGTAGTCTAAATTGTAAGGGTAACCTTAGATAGGCAGATGTCAAAGAATGATGTGTAGTCAGACTTCTTCCCATCCCCTAATAACTCAAGCACTGTCAGCGCATACTAAATGAGAGATCCTGTTTGGGCCACAGACCAACAATTTGTGCACACCTGCTATAATTTCAATAATTTACTAGTATATGCTACATTTCCTTTACCTCTAAAGCAGGGTTTGGGAGCCTCTGGCCCTTCAGCTGTGGTGAAACTACAAATCCCATGATGCACCCGTCTCTGGAAGTCATGCCTGTGGCTGAAAGAATCTTGCAATGTCTCATGGGATTTGTAGTTTAATCACAACTGGAGGGCCAGAGGTTCCCCACCCCTGCTCTAAAGATAAGGGTGTGGTCCTTTAACCACGTGTGCGCGAGGATTAAACGTTTTTATTAAATGTGTCTGGTAATACACTGCTTGGGGCAGCAAGGGGTAACATCTGTCTTCATTTTACATCTGGCCATTACCCCCATTTATTGGTACAGAAAAGTATTTGGAGAAATGTTGACAGTAAAAGGCTGTAAATTGTTGTTGTTTTTTTATCACATGTACATAAGCCCTATTATGTGACAGATTTATGTATCAAGTCAAAGAAACCTCATGCAGTAGATTTGTGTTGATGTTGGAAGGCTTTAACATGACTTAAAACATGCCGGGATTATGTTAGGGACCCGGGGAACGTAAACAGTTTTCTGGGTTTGTTTTGGGTGAACATTTACAAGCTATGTGCTCTGTATGTGAATTCTAATGTAGTGGTACTTTTGTTCTGGTTAGTGTCTTTTTTGTTTTGTTTTATTACACCACATAAAGATAAGCAGTAACTGGCACGTAAAATGGAATTTTATGTCATTGAGTGTTTTATTGTATTGTACGTACATTGTATTGCCTTTCTGAAGTAGTTGAAACCTGGGAGATGCTTCTTTAGGTGATGAACCTCCTGTGACTTTTTTTTTTTTTAGATGCAGAATCGGATGGCTGTGCTAATGTGTAACCTGAAACCTGCCAAAATGAGAGGGGTCCTTTCTCAAGCCATGGTTATGTGTGCAAGCTCTCCAGAGAAGGTGGAAATACTAGACCCTCCCAGTGGAGCTGTTCCTGGAGATAGAATTACCTTTGAGGGATTTCCAGGTAACAACTATTGTGATAGGAGTAGGGAGGGACAGGATTAATTACTTGTACCCTTATTTATAAATATCCATATGGACTTCATTCATATGCGCAGGAGTAAAGTCTTAAGTGTTTTGCTTGTTATAAAAAAGAAATATGGGCAATGCCACAACAGGCATGTTTTCAAAAGCTTTACTGTAGTAGTCATTCTTTTTCTGTATGCATTAAATGTAAGTACTAGTTCTATAATACTATATTCCAACAATTTGTATGTGAATTGATTAATATCTATGGAAAAAGTGGGAAATTTCTTTATGTGGAGTCATATGCCAAGCAAAATGGGACTTCCCTTTCAGATCCCTCATCTGTTTCAAGGGAATTTGCCTGCACCAAAAAACAGAGTGAGGACTTTTCTACCCCTTATATTTTCCTTCACTATTTGCCTTTATACCCAAAAAGCAACTAAGATCAATAGAATTCTAATCAAAGTGAAATGTGGATTTAGAAGCAAGGATAAAGGGGTGTCCACATGTATCTTGCTTAGAGAAACATGTGCAGACATAGTTGGGAGACTGTCTTTGCTGACCTCTCTTTCTGAAAATATTACATACCCTGGTTGTAATTCATATCCAGTGGCTTGAGTACTTTCAGTCTCATTTACCCAGAACAAGTATGTAGATTAGGAGTTCCGACTTCACCCTGACATTCCTGATCCACATGCTTGTTCCAGATTAATGTCTAAAAGCATTACAACTAGAGACAACCAGGCAGCTAGCATTTTAAGAAGCAGTTCAGCAGTGACCGCCTGTGTATTTCTCTCTGCAGATTTCATTTAGGGCTCATTCTCACTTTGGCATTCTTGCGTAATGTGTTAAGGCAAGCCATTTATTTAAAATGCGCTACCAATGCACAAGAACCGACCAAAAAACTGAACTGCAGCATTTCTTCCAATGCAGCACGCCTCAACACATGGTATTGTGTTACCGTGCATTGTAGTGTACTGCAACACATGTTGCACAATGCACCACAGCACAAGGATGAATTTCAGTCTCCAATCATACGGACTACTCTGAAAGCCCAATCATGGGGCATATAGTTCCATTCCATATGTTAGCTTAATTTGTTCACAGACAGGTTTACTTTAAATGTCACATGCAAGCAAAACAGACCTATTGGTTGGTGATTGGAAGATAAATTACACTTAAATCCATGCTACAGGTCCAGATAATCTCCATCTTTGAAGTGAAGGCTTTCTGGTACCTCTGTGTTTCCAACTGCTGTTCTGTACAGACCTAGAATGTGGGTCATTTCCATAGATGCCTGCTGAGATTTCACTCGCAGCTGTGCTTGTACAGAGCAGATTGTTGGAGTAGTAGGACAGAGACGTCCTGCAATAGCATTCCATGTAGATGTAGATCTTTTGAATGAGGACCATTGAAGTAAATATAGTTTACTTCATTGTACCCATCCATCTCCAATCTGAGATCTGTTTTCGTACATCTATCCTTTAAGTCCACATAAGCAGGTTTAGCCATTTGGCACCAAAAAATCTTGCCGATTTTATTCAGCAGCCATGACTCATCTCTACAGTTTTCTGCTTTTTTTGGATGGCAGCAGTAAGCTCTATGATTCCTTTTCCATCTGAAGCTTTAATAAATGTTTAATGTGGCACCCAGTCTTTCTTTTCTCTGGACAAGGATATTCCCCTTGGACACAGATGCTGAACATTTATTGGGGCGTAGCCAAAAAGCAGACCTGGACTGTGAAAGCCATGGCCAAAAAATGTCAAGCGGAAAGCCAAGGACATATCACCAGCAATGCCTGTATGCTTTCTGCAGCTGATATTTCCCCCAGAACTAATTTACCATGCCTCAGCCTGTGCTGTTTTTCAGTATGGTGGCAGAAATCTTGATAGAAGAGCAAGACTTTGCTTCCTTCCTCATGCCAGACATGCCATGCCCATCTTATGAAATGGAGAAAGCACAGATCCAGGGACAGAATCAGTACAGGATGGAGAAAGCATCAATAGCAATCAGGATGGAGTGGGCAAGATATGCCTTACTTGATTTCTCACTGCAGATATGTATTGGTTTGAGGCTACACGAACAGGTGTACATAGTTAACGTCACATGTCAAGATGTGCACTTACCAAATGTTTAATTTTTTTTATAAGACAGCAAATCTCCTCTTTCTCCAATCATCTTCCAGGACAGCAACCTAAGTAGGCTTGCTGTCCAGGAAGATTCTTAGAAATACAGTTACTGGTAAGACTAATCGTAGATTTCTCCAATCATCTTCCAGAATAGCAAGCCTACTTAGGTTGCTGTCCTGGAAGATGATTGGTGAAATCTACGGTTAGTCTTACCGGTAACGGTATTTCTAAAAATCTTCCAGGACAGCAAGCCTACTTAGGTTGCTGTCCTGGAAGATTCTTAGAAATATGGTTACCGGTAAGACTAACCGTCGATTTTGAGCATAGGTCTAATTTTTGATTGCAATTTTGTTCAGATTAAAAAAAACAATGTCTATAAATATTATACTTTTTTAGTTTATTGTAATGACGTACCAGAGTTGCTCTTGCTACTGTCTCCTCCAGTTACACTCGAGCATTATTTGTCAAGATGGTTATTCTGAAGCTGCCATAGTGACGTAGTCCCCAGCTGCACAACTGTTAACTGTTCAAAGAGAATTAATTATCTGTTTACTGGCTATTGCTTTTCAGGAGAACCTGACAAGGAGCTGAATCCTAAGAAGAAGACATGGGAGCAGATCCAGCCAGACCTCCTGACCAATGATGGATGTGTAGCAACTTACAAGGGCGTGCCGTTCGAAGTGAAGGGAAAAGGGGTGGTCAAAGCCCAGACCATGTCTCGAAGTGGCATTAAATAAAAAATGTTGGGTTTATGTTAGGAGTGCACTCCTGGTGTGCTTGTGAGCTTTTAAAGAACAACTTACAATAAAGGCTAACAAATTGTTAATTATAACTTTTAAGTTTTCTTGTTTTTGTTTTCTTGTCTGAAGTTCACTTTGATAGAATTATATACCAAGTCAGGTTAAGCCTGGTTACTCTGTGGACATCTATATATTGCACAAAGAACCATGACCATGACTATTTTGTACTGTGTGGGAAATGTAATAAAGACTTGGATATGCAAAGATCCTGAAGTACAAGGACTTTCTCCATATGGATCCTTGTCTGCATGTTGGATTTGGGAGTGGTTTCTTTTTTTGTGTGTGGTTCTCACTAAGGGCTGGTGGCTACCATTACTCACCCTGGCATCCAGGAATCTTGAGCTATTCAAAACAGTAGTGTGAATCCAGTCTGCATTAGAGGTTATATATTACTCTGACGCTCCTATTTTTGTTTTACATTTGCAATCAGTTCACATTGTATAGTGCACATCAGACAGCCTGCTGCTCTACTATTAAAAAGTGTCAGCATACCTTATAGCTCTTGTGGTGTGGCAGGTCCCTAAATACTGAGATAAAAGATATTTCTTGATTGTACGTAACAGGGGGTTACATTTTTAACCTTTTAGGTTATGATTGGCACTGGCAAATCAATCGAAGCTGCGGGACAGCCCGCATAACCCTGCCAACAGAACTCTGTTGTGCTGCTCCACAGAGAAAGTTGATAGACGAAATGCATCTGGGCGGTGCTTGCTGATGGAAGCCAGGAAACTAGTGAGGGCCCGTCGGTGCAGGCTCAGCTGTGCAAGTTACAAACGTTCATTTGTTTTTATATGTAAGTGCAATACTTTGTTTTAATGAAGGCTACACTATGTGTGTGCTTTTGAGCTCCAATAGGGCTGTGATTTCTGATGGAGTATCAAGAGGATTGAAAGTGACACAAAAAAGGACAGAGAACCAGCAGTGAAGACGTTTCCAGCATCCATAGAACAAAGGAGATACGATTCCTGTGTGCAACTTTAAAGTGATTATTCACCACCATACGGCTGGTCGAACCATCCGGCGAGTGTGGAAGTGCGATCTACACAAGGGTGCATCACGAGTGTATCACGAATAAACTTGCCTAAACACAACAATTTAGCATTTATATATATTTTATTTTGCAAGATAATATTCAATCTCTTCACTACCCTAGGTCAGCTCCTCTCCCAGGGGATCATAGTCCCTGCTTGGGAGGCAAAATGTTCTAGGTTCTTTTCCAATCTCTATACTGTCCTCAGGGCCAATGGGGTTCAATCTATCATAGATCTCAAGATTCTCAACAGGTTCCTGTGGCACCAAAAGGTCCTTATGGAATTCACAGTTCCTTCTGCGTCTCCATTCACCATGGCTTTTGGCACTAGCCTCAGTGAACATCAATAAATCATACTTGCACATCCCCAATTTTCCTTCCCACCATCACTATCTGCATTTTGCTGTGAAAACCCAGCATTTCTAATTTGTTGCTCTTCCTGCTGGTCTGTCCATGTTACCCTGGTTTTTCACCAAGGTACTGGCCCCTGTCTTGGCCCTGCCTCTGTCCCAAGGGATCCCCATAGTATAGTACGTGGATGACCTCAGGGAGAAGTTAGCACAAGCCCTGTTGTCCAACATTCCATGGAACACATGGATCCTAAACCTCCAGAAATCACTGGAGCCTTTCAATCACTTGGAGTAACTGGGTCTTGGCCACAACCATATGTAGGGTCTTCCTTCCCCTGGAGAAACTTGAGTCTCTCAGCTTACACGTTACGACTTAGTACTCCAGGAGCCTTCTGAACATTTGGTTTTACGTGAAGGCAGTTTCCAATGCTCAAGTTCACTCCAGGCCACTGCAGCTCAACATCCTGGCTGCATGGGACAAACAGGTTCAGTCCCTGGATCTCCATATCCAACTGTCCAGCAAGATGAAGCTTGCTCTTGTGTGATGGAAGTTGGTGCTGGAGTCAGGAAAATCCTTCCATTCTGATGAGTTCTGGGTTCAAGGGGCCTGGTCGGCAAAGCAATTTCAGCTCCCGTGAAATATCTTGTGACAGGGTGATTTGATTCTCTTCAATACTTGAACCCCTTAATTGCAGGGGCATCCCATCAGGATATAGCTGAAATGCCACAGCTGTGGCTTATGTCAACCGTCAGGAAGGCACTAGAAACTGCACAACTCAAAAAGAAGCAGATCTTATTCTGGCTTAGGCGGAATGTCATGTTCTGGCCCTGTCCGCTGTGTACATTTCAAGCATGAAAAACTAGCAGGCCGACTTCCTAATTCTTCAGTGTCTGGATCCTGGAGAGTGGTCCCTTCATCTGGAGGTGTCTCGAGCACTTTGTTACAGACGGGGGCACCAGACATGGACCGCCTGGTGTCCAGATTCAGGTTTGTCGTCAGGACCAGGGATCCCGTGCCTTTGACCTTCACATTGGATGCCTTGGGATCTCCATCGGATCTTTTCAGCTTGATGTATGCCTTCCTACCTTTAAAATGTTTGTCTTGCAGGATCTAGATGGAGGGCATCTCAGTGATCTTCATTGCTCCCAACTGATCCAGGAGACCGTGGTTCATGGATGTAGTCAAACCTCAGACAGACCTCCTTTTCCAAGGCTCCTGTTCCATGCTGCTTTTCAGACGCTGGTGTTAATGGCATGGCTGTCATCCCTGTGCTCCTGAAATCTAGGAAATTGACCTTCTGCAATGTCTACAATTCCACCTGGAAGGCTTATTTTCCTTGGCAGAAAGCCAGAAAATGCCATCCTAGGAAGTACTGTGTGTGCTGTAAATCATTGTTTCAACAGTCTGGGGTGAACCAGCATTTAGCCTTGAGTATCATCAAGGGTCTTATATTTACCTTTGCGATTCTCTCACAGAGACAGTTAGTTTGCCTATCACTTCCTAGTGAAAGCCTTTGTGCACATATTGTCACCCCTGTACATGCTCTAGTGACTCCATGGGATCTCAGCCTGGTTCTGTTGGCACTTCAGAAGCCTCACTTTGAGCCACTTAGAGATATCCTTCTGATCTTGCTCACTCTCAAGGTAGCAATTCTCATTGCCACCACTTCTGGTAAGCATGCTTCTGAATTGGCAGCCTTGACTTGCAAGGAGCCTTTTCTAATCATTCACAAAGATAAAATTCTGAGGCCTAAGTCCTCCTTTCTCCCTAAGTTGGTCTTTGCCTTTCACTTTACCAAGGGCATTGTTTTACTCATCTTATTATGTCCTGCCCCGAAAAACTCTACAGAAATTTCTCTCCACTGTCTAGATGTGGTTTTGGTGTTGAGAGTTTACCTTTCTGCAACAGTCTGACTGTTCATCTTTCCATGTGATGCCTCTTGATCCGAACAGCTTCTTCTACTCGTTTTCCACAGTCCCTCCAGCGCTGGTGCCGGTCTCTGATCCAGCACAGACTCCTCGTGTCCCACTGAGTCTGTCCGGTGTGTACGTTCACGGCTGCCTCCATTCAGCTTCAGTGTTGCTTTCCTTCCCTCCCTTGATCTGGACTGCGCTTGTGCCGCCCACACTTCCTCCTTCACAATGTTTGGGAGCCGGGTCCTTCTGCAGCTGGAGCAAGCGGCACTGATGCAGGTAAGTGAGTTGGTATTTGCCAACTTTTTTTTTTAATGTTGGGGCAAATATCTTTTGCTTACTAGCAGTAGATATATGCCAGAAAGAAAAGACTTCAATACTACTTTAAGGTCCTTTAGACAGCCCTTTGACGCATGGGAACGCCTATGTTTCTAGTTCTTGTTGTTTCTCTTCTTGGACCTGTCAGCCATTGTTTACTGTATTGCCAGCCCCACTGTTTTACTGCTTGTAAACATCCCAGTGCTTAAAGACTATAACTCCCTCTGTCCTGGGACGTACGATCAAGAAAGCAGGTTTTTTTCTTATCTGTAAAATCCGTTTGAGTACATTACAAGACCTGCATAACCCAGTGGTTAACAAATTTAACTCCCTAAGAAGTACACCATGAAAAAGATTTTATAGGTAAGACAAAAATTAAGTTTTTACATAGTATTGGAGAATTAAAACAACAATGTTACAGTTTTGATATGTGTGTTCCAATCTACAAGAGGCAATTTTCTTTGTAAAATTGTGGGCTGTAAAAACCACCAAAGGTTTTTTTTTTTTGCTTTATTTTGCAAGAACTATCTTCATATTTAAATGATTTCCCATCTTTTGTTTAGCAGTGATATCGTTACTACTAGCAGTGAGTCATTTTACTACTATACTTTAGCGGTATAGTATTTGTAGAATGTTAAATTCACTACATCCCCTGAAGTAGCTTCTGTCAATACAACATTTCAATATATTCCTCTGTCCAGAACTGTGTGCTTTTCCAATGTTTGGAATCATTTATTCATACAGAAATTGTTGAAAATGTTTGTGTATTCAATATTGAAGTTACAGTGTTGAACTCATGATCGCTTTGAACTTTTTATTGTGACACTATACTTAACAATGAATATTTTTATGGTCCTACACAATTTGTTTGGGCCCATTAGCAAAATAGTCTGTTTGGCCAGTCTGCTTGAGTTTTAAATAGATTTTATAGGCTGTAAATGGCACCAAGTCACTTACTTAAACAAACATCTGTTGGAAAATTATGATAGGAGAACAAAACTTTGAATCTGATTGGCTTCTTTTTGGCAACGCAGACAAACATGTGAGACACACTGATAAATACTGTGTTAAGGATAAGCTGTGGACTTGTTACTCACTGGCATATTTACAAAGCAAAAGGAAAAAGTCTGCCTTAATAGGAAATATTTTCTGAGTGTGACTCTATAACAGTGTCGTTTGTTGTAGATCATCCTAAATTATAAAACCTCAACAAAGTTTGCAGTTAGGGTCAGTTATAGTGACCCTGTATAATGGAACATTTTGTAAATTATTTTTTTGTGCTATATTTTATTTTCACTCCACACCCTTTGTTTTGCTGTTTTTATCTTTGTGGTGAGCATTTACTGGTGAACTGCTGTAGATGATCAGTATACCCAGCTACAGTTACTAAACGCCTGTAGCAGCCAATTGAAGCTTAAAATAAACTTGTCATAACATGCCACAAAGTGCTAATTTCTATACTGAGCTTGCGTCTTGGCTTCTTGGGCAAGTAAAGAGTTTACACAAACCAGCAGTATAATCGCCATGTGGTCCTTGCTCTTTCAGTCATGTCAGATTATAATTTTTTTTTTTTAATGTTTGCTTGAAAGAGAAGCTATCAGCTCCCCACTAACCTTTTAAACCCACGCTTGTGCTGTGTATTTGGGAAGAGAACGTGTCTTCATGAACAAGGGTGTTTGCATAATCTATCACTCCTTACCACCATAGACCTAAAATATCATGGGTGCTGCAGGGAAAAGATGGATGGTGTTTTCTATAGCAGGACCCAAACACAGAGATCTCACCAGCACACCATCAGAGATGAGTATAGATAAATGTACTGTAGTTTCCAGGCTGCTGTGGAACCCTTCCCCAAGCAGGCGGTGACAACAAACGGTACACACAAGGTTTAAATAGACATCATCCAAACACAAACCCCAGAACTATAAAACCACCTACGATGATCAAAAAACATCCAACACATTTAAAAGATAGATTTTTGTAGATGTATACACTTAGATTTATAGTCGACATGAAATATATTTTCATCCTCTAGTGAGCAACCGTAAAAGAATATTCCATTCCATATTGCCCACCCATGTAACCCCAAGGAATGTATAATAAGGTGGTCAATGCTTGTTAAATGGCACAGTTTGGTAGCTGTTTTGTCTCACGAAGTGTAAGATCTGATTGGCTAGCACTGCTCGCTCCTCATGCAGAGTTTTGTCAGTGGGGTCTCTAAAAAAGCATCGGCCATGTACATACTCCAGGAGGGTTGACAGATTGGGAGGAGCAGATCTGAGGAATTCATCTTCTGTCATTCTTGCCTCTTGTAAAACATCTCCATGAGTAAAAACCACTGCCGTGAAATATTTCCATTCTGGGCCCAGTAGATCCTGCAGAAAATGAATATATTACAAACTTCTCATTTATAAATGAATAAATAAAAATTAACAATGAATGAAACCCGAGTTTTGCTTGAAGGGATTGTTAACTCTGGGATCCAGAATTTTCCCATCTCTACCATCCCCTTTGTGAATGTCCATGGAACATCTGAAATACCTTACCCAAATTGAAATTTTAGTAAATAGATAATAAAAGGACAACTATACTTTACATAAGGTTGGAAACGTGGAAATAACTGCCCCCATCTTGCACTCCTTATCCCGTGTATATCCCTTATTACGGATTTCAGATAAGTTGACCTCCCACACCAGTCAGAGCCATGCTAACTTTGGAAAGCCTTCAATGCTTTTTACTAAGCCGGTGGGCCACTTTGTGGTGCCCATGTGCAGCAATTTCTCTGTAGACCCTAATAGAGAAGCTGTCTAGTTGCAGGCTTCTTTATTGTGTTTGTGAATATGAACCTGTTCTGAGAAAAATATAGTATGCTACTTCTTACCTTAAGGTCCGTTTCACACCACAAACAGTGCGTTCCAGAGCGGTCGGGCTTTGGAATGCATTGTATCCAAAAATAGCTCTGGCAGCATTTTTGCACATTGCACTGGACCAGAACGCAGATACTAATGTGCCATGCGTTCGGGCGATTGCACTGCAGACGAGGGTCGTGGCTGCGGTGCCTTTGACTTCAATGCACTGCCACGCCCCCTCCTCAAGGAACCGGCCAAAATGCGATACAGTGCATTCCAGAGCCTGAACGCTCTGGAACGCACTGCTTGCGGTGTGAACCGGCCCTCATGGTATTTTGGTTTTAATGCTTTCTAAGTCTGCGACCCATGCAGCTATACAGCCCATGAAGGCAAAATTCCTGATCTGTATACTTATTCTGGAGGACACCCAAAAAAAACTCAATGAAACCAGAATGACAACAGTTAACCAGAAATGTTAGAAGCAGGTCAGAATTGACAGCTTATATCAATATGTCATAGCAGGTCTCTTTTAGTATTCCATCAATGCAGGTTTTATGTGTGTCTTCAATGCATAGCAGTGGGGGCAACCAGTTATATGTGCCAGTTGAAATGTTGGCTTCTCCCATATTTCTGGGGACAGGGAGGGGGAATAATGAAGAATATTGTTTTTCCTTTGACAGTAAATAATTTGCATTTAATTACATTTTTCAGTGAGCATGTAATGCAGTAATTCTAAAGCCACAACCATGACAAGTAGAAATCCTGCGAACACTAACAGGGTTATTCACAAAAGGGTAAAGATTTTGGGGAAGGCGGAAGAAGTGAACAGTCTACGACAACATTGCTGATTTGGGATATATTTCTGAATAACCCTGTTAGCGTTTGCAGGATTTCTTCCTGTCAGGGTTGTGGCTTCAGAATTACTGCATTACATGCTCATTGAAAAACTCTTCACCCTTTTGTGAATAACCCTGTTAGTTCTGAAGGGCCAGACATGTCACCAGTGATGAATTTTATTCATGGCTATATTAAGCATACGTTCTGTATGATAAATAAGCCCCTTGCAGTATTATACAGAGGCTTTAATGCTGCTAATTATTGTTTTCTTGGAAATATTTTTTATTATTAATGTAAAGATTTGTTAATTAACTAATAAATTATTTTTATATGTTCATATCGCATCCTTGGGTACCTTAAAACCAAACTCTATGTAATATGATAATTTACAAATCGCACTAGGTGTTTAAAGAAGAACGCCAGTTATTTTTTTAAAATTAACCTTTGCAGTCGGGCTACCCCAACGGCAAGTGCTCGTTTTGATCTAGGGCTGAAAATAATAGTTAAACACACCTGATCCTCCGAGCTGGCTTGCTCTTAGACCAGTCCCTGGAGCGTCTTCCAGCACTCTACTGCAAGAGTTAATAAAAAAATACCCAGCTTTTTAATTATAATTTAATGTGTGGGGGGCTGCTGCAAAGTATAAAAATCTTACCTTATAGCATGCTGGCTCTTGCACATAAAACTGGGCTTCCGGCACTACGAGCAGTGAAGAATGCTCCAGTTGCATCACCTACCCCTCCTCACTACTTGCCTATTCACAAAATGCCTTGTTTGTTTTTCAAAGAATACAAGGCATGCTGTGATTGGAGGAGAGATGATGTTACATTCCCGCCCCCTTCTTTTTTCCTCCATTGCTTACAGAAATGCTTTGAAGCAAAAGGAAGGGACAAATAGCCACTAATTGACAATCCTAGATCTTTGAAAAGCTAACAGAAAGCAACCAATAAGCAATCATATTCATAATGAAGCATGATGAGCTAACCGATTTTATTGCACATCCTTGCTTTATCTTATTTTATTTAATAGGCCCATTGGTGTATGTTGTTTCATTTCTATTTGTCTGAAGATGAGCCTAAAGTAAATCAGTGATTCAGAGAAATTGAAAAGTTATCATTACTGTAAACTGAATCTTGGTAAAGCAATTCTTTCATGTGCTGCACTAATGATTTCTATTAATGAGTAACATTTACTTTGTACACCGTAGTAGTTAGAAATAGAGCTAAAACAAATGAACAGTATTACTTGGAACAGGCCACAGTTCAGCACTGATTGCTTCAGCTTGTGATAGTAGGCAAATGTTCATGGTTACCACTGCTGAATAGTTGTGCCCCAGCATCTGCTTTTATAGATATTTATGTTTAACCCCTTCATGACTGAGGCCTTTTTTTCATTTTTTTTACCCATGTTATATTCCACATTTTAGGCCTGAAAATTACTTAAAACCCCCCCAACATTATATATTTTCTGAATGCCAAGACCCTATAGAATAAAATGGTGGTAGTTGCAAATTTTTATGTTGCGCAATATTAGCGCAACTCCTTATTAAACCCCAATATTTAGTGAAAAATTTAATTAAATGCCCCAAAACACAACAAAATACCCATTTTTTTAATGAAATATAAAAGATGAGGTTACAACGAGTAAAACGATACCCAACAAGCCCAGGTTACAAATTGCGTGCATCCGTAAAACGGCGAAAAACCCCAGTACCCCAAAAAGTCCATAGAAGACGCTTTAAAAGCCCCCACAGGTCATCAATTTAGAGATACCCCAAAATACTGGCCCTAGAATTATTGCTCTCACTCCGGCGTGCGCGGCGATACCCAACATGTGTAG